TTCCGAATGCCAGGAAGGATTCTTGCCTCGCTTCTGAAGCAAGTGACTCGGAAGACATGTGCTACCAAGCAAGCATAATCGACATTGAGAAACAACCTGTGTCTGTTTTATATGTTAGCACCTGTTGGAGATGCTGGTAGAGGAAATAATAAGAATTAGTTTGATGGAAAATATTTGAAAGCTATAATAGATGCATTAAGTAACACACAAACCACAGCTTCTGTCTTTACAATGACTCCACTGTTTTGTATTACATTACATCTCATTTAGCTGATGCTTTTACCCAGATTGACTTACAATAAGTGCATTAAACCATGAAGATACAAACTCAGAGAAGCAAGAAACAAAGAGGCACATTAGCATTAAATAAGCCAAATCATTGTAAGTGCTGGTGCGTTAGAGTCAAGCGAGCTAAACCTTTTAAGAACTAGTTTTTTGTGTTAGGTTTAATCGCAATGGAGGAATACTCCATGTGTAAAATGACACTTTTTGTAATTTAGATGTTTCCAACATTTGAAGGTGTTTTGATTTAGTGTGAAACCTGAATTGACATCCCACATTTAGCACTCACTGTCACAGGGCAAGGCTGACTGGCCTCTGATGAGGGAATGCTTCCTCCTCGGCCCCCAGCTCATTCAAAGCGCTCTGTGCGCTCTGGCAGAAAGGGAAAACCGGCTATTAATAGTGCCCCCCTGCCCTGCCCCCTCCCTCACTCGTGTACACAGACACACAACCCTCCAGTGGCACACACTCTTCTTTCCATGTACACACACACACACACACACACACACACACACACACACACACCCACACACACACACACACACACACACACACACACACACACACACACACACACACACACCACTTCAGGGGACATTACATTGACTTACATGCATTTCCTGGAGACTTATCCTAACCTTAACCATAACCAACACATGCCTAACCCTAACCCTTAACCCTAACCCTAATCCTAAACCTAACCAAGTCTTCACCCTAAAACTAATGATTCCCCTCATGGGGACCTCCATTTTGTCCCCATAAGCGAGGCGAGTCCCCACACGTGACTATGTAAACAGATGTAGGTCCCCACAAGTATAGTAATGCTAGGCCACACACACACACACACACACACACACACACACACACACACACACACACACACACACACACACACACACACACACTCTACCCTGGAGCCTTTGGGAGCTCTGTCACTGCACAGACTGGCCACCCTCCTCCTCCTCCTCTTTCTCCCCCTGCTCTCTCTCTTTATGCTCCCCTCCCCCCTCTTCCTCTCCAGAGTGACGAGGTGCTCAGCTGTCTGAAGACGGCTGCTTCTACTCTCCTGTACTATCGCTCCTCATCCCATCTCTCTCTTCAATACTTCTCAATGTTTCCAGCTCTGATTTCCTTTTCTGTTATATATATATCTTAATTGCATATCATATTAATTCTTGAAAAATATGGAATGAAAGAGAAAGCAAGAGCTCTTGTGATATTGCACATATCCTTTTCTGTTAAGTTTACTCATCGACTGGAAGTCATAGTAAGAAATGTAGACAAACCTCAGGGGCTTAAAACACATTTGATAGGAGACTTATTGACATGATCTAAGGTGGAAATTGTTAAATGAATGAAACGTACAAGACTTGGTAGCTTGTTTTAAAAATGCAAAAAACTGATGAGAATAGAATCGTGTGTCCAACCTTGTTCTGGCTTTTGAATCTTCTCTTTTCAACACTGAAAACAGACACATACAAATCCCAAATAAACGGTGCACTCTTTCAGAGCACTGTAGCAGAAGTAAACAGTTGCTTATTTACACAATCTAGCAGTAATGGAATAACATTAATGCTCATTTAGATGGTTATTCCCCCGTTATTCGAACCAATACAACACGGTTTACAGATAGGCACGTTTTGATCTCCTTTGGCGATCTGGAACTATTCTCAAAACACCAAAATCCAGTTAGCAACAGTTACGAAAAAGCATACAACTAAATGTTTAAGTAATTTTTGCCACAACTTCTAATCAATAATTTTGCCGATACATTACATAAATTGGGAATTGTTTTAACCCTGTGTCAAATGCAGCTGCTTACAAGTCACACAGATAAACAGACTTGATGTGACCACAGAGGGCGTAGAGAGGGCAGATAGTGATCCATTGAGTGCTGAAAAGGGTGAAAGGTCAGCACAGACCCTCAGACTTTGAGGTGTCATGGTCACTGTTTATGACTTCCTATCTGTCTGTCCTTATACTTCCAAGCTGCTGCATTGCGGCAACGGATATTGTGTTCAGTCATCATCACATGGGTTGTTGTTGCATTTTCAGGAGAATACACACACACACACACACACACACACACACACACACACACACACACACACACACACACACACACACACACACACACACACACACACACACACACACACACAGAATAAGAGTACACACTTGCAAAACCTGAGAACATGGGAATATTTGCACAAATCCACACATATGTTGGACTCACTTTTTTCCTTTGAAACACGTCAACATACTGAATGCAAACAAAGAATCCTTGCATTCAATCAAACAAGAGACTGAAAGTCACCTTCTTCCCCAATTCAGCACTGCAGTGTTTACACAGAAATAGGCATAGAGACAGATGGAGGGAATGAGTCACAAACACACTGCTATCAATACATCAAAGGTCTTTTCATCCAAAATAAAAGGAAACCCTCTGGCCTCTCCATATTATCCCGAATCAGGAATATCCTTCCGCAGTGCGAAACGTATCGCTTTCTCTCCGTTAATGTTGTAATTCTAGCAAAAGACTGTGTCTAATGTCATCATCCCAGCAGTAAGCTTGTTAGACTGTGTGATGGATGATCTTAGCTGATCAAACAGATCTGTTAAAAGCTCATGTGGGCGTCCTCTTGTGTGTTTATCCGTCTGGTTCACTCACACCATTTAGCAGTATGAAGCCAGGGCTGATTGGTTGTCTTTTGCAGCAAACCCTATCGGCTGTCGTGTGGTGATTCCCATCGAGTGGAGACACAAGTTGCACCTTAAAGGTTGCTGCTTTGAGGAAAAGAACAAGCTACAGGAAGCTGGTCATTACTACCAAAGAAGCTTTGACATGCAGCATGAGGAATATCTCAGTCCCAGCGTTGTTGGATGAACAATAATTATTAGTACGACTGGAAATCTGTCGTTCTCTGCTGCTTGATGCTCGTTTGAATTAAAGATCGATTTAAATGCACCAGTAAGCTGAGTTATTTATTTAAATACTGTTATGGATTTTACATTTATGGCTATTTATTCTTATGATTATGACTTGCTTACAATCCTCAAAATACCATAATTTTAGGACTCTGGCATTATAGTTAACATTTTCCATGTGTCATTGCTTGTGCGTCCATTTAAAGGGAAGATGGTTAAGAAACTTGTGGTAATGAGGAATACAATGAAATCACATAACAATGAGCCTCTAACCACCATACAAACACTTTTTGTTGCTAAGATTACAGTTGCAATTAAATGTTTTGCAACATTTGAAACTTTTTAATAAAAGAAAGGCCACAAAACGACTTGATAATGTAAAGGAAAGGTAACAAATGCATCCAATTTTGTAAAAACAAGTTTCAAAGACGTAGCTTGGTATGTTTTTATGTTATTAAGCTGACGGATGTTCACTTTTGGTTTTACAGGTGGCACTAACAGCAGTCTCCTTGATAAAGTCCTGTGTACTTCTCATCCATGTTGCCTTCAAAATTAAGCTCCTCAGTTAATTGTAGACCTTTTAAAACAAGAGTTAAAAAAACAATCTTAAATCAGATGAGAAGGTTAAAAGCTCTGGAACAAATGGACCTTGTCAATTGCCAATTGAATGCCTGCAGTAATGAGGTAGTAGCATTTTATTGGTGCAAGATGTTAAATGGATCCAAAAATCACAATCGACTCCATTTCCCTTACCTGGTTGATTGTCCATTCAGAATGGAGTATTGGAAATAGGGTTCAGTGGACATACTGTACATGTCTGTGTGCTGCGTTGTTTGATTGCCCTATTTAATAAAGGATAATAAAGCATATATTCCAAGCTTTTTATATATTAAAACTAGGAGTGACATTTTGAACGCAGATGTCAAGCCCAGGCACTAAACAACGCCCCTGTCCTTGTTTTCATTCTGCGGCATTTCCCCCATAACTCGTGTCACTGCAGGCTCAGGGAGCGTGGAGACTGTTGACAGGATGTCAATAAGGCAGGGATCTCAAGCGAGCAACGGGTGTGTGTGTATATGAGTGTGTGTGTGTGTGAGCATCATGTCTCAGAAAGCTATAGAGACAGACAGAGAGAGGCTGGCCTGGATAAGCGCTTGGGATGTGAGTCATGTTAGCACCTCATATCACAAGACTTGGTTGAAAACGTCTTCAAGTCATACTAAATGCTCGCTTCTGACCAAATCAAAGAGACATACCATTTTAAACTTCTTGACTTGACGATATTTTTGAAAATATGTTTACATATTTACAATTTGAAGCTCTCTAGGATCAGCAGCTAGTGCTACATACATTGTGTATGAGCCCATCTAGTTTCATTTATGTATTTGTTCTTTGTTTACTTACGTTTAAACCCCTTCTTTTTTTTTTAAGACAAATGGTATAAAATAAAGGTTGGTATTATTTTGATTGGTTATATTTTATTAAAATAATCTTGCCTTCCCTCTGCTGTATATGGTTCAGATGATTATGGTGCACTTCTCTCTGTTTTGGGCTCTACTCAAAATCAGTAGTCCAATTAGGCTGCCAAAAAAGCTAATTTTCTGGACCGTGGAAATCTAATGAGAGGCTGGAAGTAATATCAATGAGTTTTCTGATGAATAATAACTCATTATCATGCCCTTTGTCTCTTCACTTCCTCATTCTCTTGTCTCATCACCCCCTGCCATTACCCCCCTATTCATATCCACCATCTCTTCCCATTTTCTTTCTCTCCCTCTTGCTGGCTCCAGGTCTGATCGTGTACCTGGGGATGATGGTCGGGGCCTTTGTGTGGGGGGGCCTGGCTGATCGGATAGGCCGGCGGCAGACGCTGCTCATCTCCCTCTCCATCAACAGCGTGTTTGCCTTCTTCTCGTCCTTCATGCAGGGCTACGTCTCCTTCCTCTTCTGCCGCCTGGCCTCCGGTGTGGGGTAAGAAGACAGATGGGTCACACAGGCACAGGGTGAAGTGAGACCACCACCACTGTGGCACGTCAGCTGATTTGACAAGCGGGCAATGCCCTATGTCAGAGGAGAGATACAAAATTCAAAACATACATTGGGGTTTAAGGAAATCCCCCATCAGAGTCTTGGTTGTGTGCAGTTTGGCAACTTTGATAAAGAAAGACACTACAGGCAAAAACATCCTATTTGTGGTCAACTTTCAGAGTTTGGCTATTGCTCCCATTACAACATGGTGATTATGGATGTTTCTGCCATTTGGGCATTTCCCCCTTCTAAATGAAGTCATGGAAAAACAAATCTCTGCCCCTGTTTGATTGTAGAACTCTGAGTCTGATTATTGCTATCATTTCCCTTCTGACTATAGTGGCTAAAATCGGTGCTTTTGATTGGAGTCATCCATTATTGGTCCTTTTTAAGACTTAATCTTAATTCATATTCATCTACAAGGCTGCTAAATTGTCCCCCTATTATCTAAAAAAAAAACACTCTTTTCTATTTGTTGTGTTAAATGTACTTCCTTTTCATCCTCCCGCCTTAATTTCTTTTTGATTTCACTCTTTTTTCATAGCAAAACTAATTTATATTCTTTCCATATTCACCACGGTTTAAAGAAAGATTGTCTTTTTCGTTTTCTTTCTTCTCCGGTGTTTCTCCTCTCTCTTATCTCACCTATTATTTTCATCTCCTCCCGGATCCCTTATCTTGCTCTTCAATTAATTGTCTTTCCTTTTTTAATTCCTGCTTCTCTCTTGACTCCACAGTATTGGCGGCTCCATCCCCATCGTGTTTTCCTATTACTCCGAGTTCCTGGCCCAGGAGAAGCGAGGAGAGCATCTGAGCTGGCTCTGCATGTTCTGGATGATCGGGGGGATCTACGCCTCCGCCATGGCCTGGGCCATTATCCCACACTACGGTGAGAGAAATAGACCAATCACAGGCAGGGAATTAAGATCCAAGGCAATATGTCTGCCTGTTAGTAAATGTGTCAGTTAGATAAACAGACATTTTAACTCTTATCTGTGGAAATGCCATTTACATTAGAGACTTTTGAAAATAACTGAATACACTAACATAAGTAGCCTACTCTACTTTGAAATACGTGTTCTTGAAAAAGCAAATGGAAAATCGAGTTAAAGGTTTAATATGTAACATTACCAAATTATAATATCCAAAAAGGACTAAGCCTATAGAATGTTATGTATTTGGTTCAGTTGTCTATTTTTTCCCAAATGTTTCCAACAGTATTCAAACTTAGAGAAATCAGTAGTTTTAAGAAAAATGTAATATTCCCCAAAATGTGTCAGCGTTGAAGAAAGTACACTTGCCGGCACTCTGCCACGATTGTTGTCGTCAGAAACACCTCGGAGAAACACTGATTTGTATTATTTTACGTACCTGCATGTACCAGGTTTTTTTTAAAGAAGAGGTTACGTCTAAAGGGAATTGTCTCTCTTCTGAACAATGAATATTGAAGGAATCAAACCTAATGTGAGAGGTTGACTGCAATTACAACAATGGTTAATGCTTCGCACATTCAACATTTTAATAACTTCAAGTACCTGTCCAGAATGTTGAGTTATTTCTCTTATTACAATTGCTGATTGGAAAAAACAGGTCAGTCAGATTGCAGACAAAATGTAAATATTGTAAATGTAAAATTAAGAGAAGAGGAGAGCAACTTACTAAACCATACTGGAGCAAACCTGACAACTAATTGCTGCAGTTTAAGGACATATACAGAGCAGGGGCCTCATTTATGAAGCCTTGCGTAGGATTCACGTGGGAAGGTTGCTTACGTAGGACAAAGCAAATAAATACGCACAGACATTTTCCGATTCATAAAACGCGTATCGGCGTACAGTAGGACTTCCGTGCGACACGTCCTACGCCGGTTTCCTTTTATAAATCACAATCAACTCGAAATGCGGCGCAGCTTTTGCGGGCTTCGCGTAACGCCCATATTTGTCTATAAATAGTCAAAGAAACGCCCCGTATTAATATTCATTTTGACTGACTGCATGAATAAGATCGCAGGAAATGACGACAGAACAGCTAAAAAAGACATTTCACACCGTGTCAGATGTTGGTTCTTTTGGGGAGGTGGAGACAAATCACATTGTTTGGTGGATGCAGTTTGAACCAGAGTAGCTGCAGCAAGGTCAGATCGTCACCAAAATAAATACACAAGTGGTCCGAAAAAAGTTAATGACAAAAGTTACTTCCTCAGGCAGTGTGTCAGTGTGTTTGTGCCGGGGACAGGAGACCCCCCCCCATGATGAGAAACTGTAAGAAAGGGGGGAGTTTTTGTGCTTAGTGCCTCCGCATGGTTCAGAGTTTGCGTGGAGTACCGCACATTTTCCCGTCAAGTTTGTTTTTTATAAATCGCAAACATTGCTTCATGGCGTACATGGCGTACGCCATCTTTTGAGCGTACGCACCGTTTGTAGATGAGGCCCCTGACCATTACAGTATGAATAGAGGAAGTTTCCTGTGCTCTCAATTCAAGTCTTGCAGCTGCCTCTCACACCTCCCCTCTCTCACTCTCCTCTCACACCTCCCGTCTCTCATCCCCTCTTTTAGGCTGGAGTTTCCAGATGGGCTCGGCCTACCAGTTCCACAGCTGGCGAGTCTTTGTGTTGGTGTGTGCCTTCCCCGCCGTGGCTGCTATCTCCGCCCTCACCATCATGCCCGAGAGCCCCCGCTTCTTCCTGGAGGTACGCCTGTGAGCCCCAACCACACCCAGTCTTTGTTTAACAGCATACTTGAATACATTTGACCTTAGTGAATGCATAAACAATATTGAGAACTCAAACGTCTGGAAACTTGCAAAGTGGAAGATGCAAAGTGCTGCTTGCACACTTTTTCAGAATATTTCAGAGTTAATAAATATGTGCATATATACATGCTGGAGCAGGCTAAACAGCAAGGCACTGTGAGAGGCGTACATTACTGCTGAAGGTTTTTATCTCTATTCAGTTTATTGGAAATATTGACACACTAAAAAGTAAACAAGGGAAGTAGAGATAAAGCAATATTTTTTTAGTTTGATGAGAGATTGACTACTGCTCTTCAGCCATGAGCATGACAGTGGTTCAGTATCAATCTTTGGACATTAAAGCATAATAAACATGTCACAGTAGAGCAGGGGTGGCCAACCAGTCAGAGGTTAAGAGCCACATTTTTTCTATGTTACTGCAAAGAGCCACATCAAACACACAGTCACTGATAACGCTTGTTTCAGTTTTTTGTTTTCTGGAGACAAGATTTCAACCACGTCACTGATGCATCTTTGTGGCATTGGGATATATATTTTTTAAATCCTCTGGAGCAGAGAGAGGAGCTGTGGATTATTGTTATTGATTAATGCATCAGTGTTTCTTAGGGTCAAAAACACTAAACTCACAACTTAAAATGAAAGCGTTTAGTTTATTTAATAAAAGAGCACATGTTCAATGTGAAAAGTGACAGTAGTTATAGATTATTTGCAATTTGGTGCTATATATATATTTAAAAAATATATATTATATATATTTTTGAAACACCTTGAATTTCAGGGGGGGGCGCGGGGCTCCGTTGGCGGGGCGCAGCGCCCCTCCAACACAATGGTAGGGGAAACACTGGATAGTGTTTAATCAACGATAGGTTTCCCCCCCCTCAAAGGTGATTGGTTCACTGCATCGCAGGTATTATTGTGATTGGCTCTTGGGTCACATCAAAATTAGACGCGCTGTCATCCTCTCATACTGACACCTGACACCACACATACACACATAGGGAGAGCCGGGACGAAAGTAACACGGGACGAAAGTAACACGGGACGAAAGTAACAGAGCGATTTTATCCGAGCCCAAACAACTTTGACCGGCCAAATTACGTCAGAATTATCAGCATTCAATACTTAACAGACCTACTAAATATCAGGTTTAACTGTCAGGAGTAGCTAGTGTTGTCACGGTACCAACATTTTGGTTTCGATACCAAGTCAAGAATTGCGATTCCGATTCTTTTTTGATACTTTTCTTAAAAAAAGGGAAACAGTCTTAAATGTAATTATTGTGCTTTATTTCACACCAGAACCATAACCATAACATAACCTTTTAAACAATGAGAACAATAAATAAAATAAATGACAAGAATTCGTATTAAATAAAATTAATACATGTCTCACAGACAGGCCTCGTGGTGTCCGTAGGCTTGCCCTCACTGTCAGAGATATAGCTCAAATACTTCCAAATTTCGCTTCTGGCGTCTTTTTTGTCAACAAGCCGAGGCGCAGCGGCAGCTGCACTCCCACTTGCAGCCATGCTTCTCGTTTTCTCACATGCTCTGGCAGCTAGCGCGTGCACGAGAGAGGGGAGGCACTTAGAGCGTGCTTGAGAGGGGAGGGACTTAGAGCGTGCTTGAGAGGGGAGGGACTTAGAGCGTGCTTGAGAGGGAGGGACTGCAGGCAAGGCTGCAGTGCAGGGAGTGGAAGCAGAGCGCTGAACACACACGGCTCTTATTAAAACGGCGCTTTCTCACCGGAGTACTTTTCCCCGTCATTCTTAAAGTACCGATACTAATGAAACGGCGGAATCTTAACGTTTTTAACGGCAGGGTATCGCGGTACCTTTCAAGTATCGGTACACCGTGCAACACTAGTCAGGAGTCAATGTCTCTCCCCCAAACTCACACATATACAATTCGATATGAACTGAAGAGCCGCATGAAACTAGGCAAAGAGCCGCATGCGGCTCGAGAGCCGCGGGTTGGCCACCCCTGCAGTAGAGGCACAAAATTCAAATATGAACCTCAAAATAAGCACATTAACACTAGAACCGCCAGAGGTCGCTGTATACCTAAAACCGCCAACGGGTCAAATGTACCCGCTATTGATTTTCAAGGTACAATGTTCTTTTATTTATCATGTAGAACAGTGAGTTTGGATCGCACAGGGATGAAATGTATACCAATATAATCTGTGGACTCTCAGCTTTTCATATGCTATAGTTTGTGCAGATATCATGAAGTATAACATATCGCTACCAGTGCTGATTTAAACGCTTGGTGTTAGACTTGTGTTTTGTTTCGGTACAAATCTCTCGATCTATAACTATCTATCGATCTATCTGTAACTATATATCTGTCCATCTATCTGTCTATCTATCTATCTATCTATCTATCTATCTATCTATCTATCTATCTATCTATCTATCTATCTATCTATCTATCTATCTATCTATCTATCTATCTATCTCTCTCTCTCTCTCTCTATCTCTCTCTCTCTCTCTCTCTCTCTCTCTCTCTCTCTCTCTCTCTCTCTCAATCTATCCCTCTATCTATAAGGAACCGCAGTAGACAAAAGGCGTTGCTATAGCGACACGTCATGTTTACGCTGCATTTTCTATGAGGTAAATATTACCCGCTGGCGGATATATAAATGGCAATTTCTTTGACGATTTTTTTAATCTGACTTCATATTGACAATTTTTAACAACAGAGGGTGCTACATAATAACACACTTTCAGGAAAAGTCACGGACTGGGAGACTTTCATATTTTATTGAAAAAAAGTTACATACAATCAAAAAGCAGCTGCGGGTAAAATTGACCCGTTGGCGTTTCAAGTGTTAAGGCCCCTTTAAACCTTAATTTCCAGGGGGGTTCAGTACAACATGAGGGATTACTAACATGTTAATGTGCTTTTTGTTTCTCTCCTCCAGAATGGGAAACACGACGAGGCGTGGATGATTCTGAAGCAGGTCCATGACACCAACATGAAGGCCAAGGGATACCCAGAGAGGGTCTTCTCAGTACGTCACACTCAATGCTTCACACTTTTGTCTGTATGCAGGAGAAAACATGTTCACACAGTGCACGTGTGTCTGGCTGCAGGCTGACACACTGCAGCAGGTTTCCAGCTCTGTGCTGCATAACATTAGCATATTAATGAATTGAAAACAGATTTTCTTTAAACTACTGTAATCTCTTAAAGCTTCAAGCCGCACAGTTCACATTAATGCTTAACTGAAAATACGGGGAGAAAATGCTTTAGTACGTCTTCTTACCACTCGAATGAGAAAAAATATAATAATCATTGTAATAAAACAAGGTGTTCATGGTGAGACATTAGGCAGATCAGGTGCCTCATTATTAAGTGGAGCCTTTTTCTGTGTTGGGGTAGTGTGACAAGGGAGAGCAGGTTTGCCATCTGTTGTAAATATACTGCACAGAAATGAAAATCAAACAGTGTTAAAAAATTCCACAATTAAGGATTTTGCACTGCGTATCTTATAATGCATGCTGAGGACAATTAAGTATTTATAACACCAGACTGCAAGATAAGTTCATCTATAGGTCTCTGACTGACTATCTTTCCATTTACTGCAAGAAACATTTATACAATCTCAACAAATCTCACATTATTAAAAAGGTTTTGCTGTTGCTTCCAGGTGACCACCATCAAAACGGTGAAGCAGATGGATGACCTGGTAACCCTGGGAGACGGTGCCGCCTGGCATCAGAAATGGAGGATTAAGCTCACCTCACTTTTCCATCAGGTGACAGTTTGCTTCTTATTCCATTGTTTTCTTATGTAGCAATATTAAGTGTAAAATACTCTATTAGGATTAGTATGATTATTTTTAGCAGTTTTAAACAACACATTTGAACAAACAAAATCAGCTCAGCTTTTTGTTTTTGTGGACAGTTTGTATTTATTAACAGGATGTGTTTATCTCTCAGTTTGTGCTGCAGAGGCTTTATTTACTTCAAGCCTTGAAAAGGATTTTTTGGTGTGTGGTTTATTTATTGCAGGTGATAGGGAAATCAATCAATCAATCAAATCAAATCAAATCAAGTTTTATTTATATAACACATTTATAAACGATTTTTGGTCGAGCCAAAGTGCTGTACATAAAATAAAAATAGCCTACAGTAGAGACACTTTACAGCAAATACAACAGCACAGATTGTTCAGAATATCAGTATGAGAAAAACGACACCCTCTATCCTTAGACCCTCACATCGTACAAGGAAAATCTTCCGGAGAAAACCCACAGTTTAAAGGGAAGAATGGGAGAAACCTCAGGGAGAGCAACAGAGGAGGGATCCCTCTCCCAGGACGGACAGACGTGCAATAGATGCCGTGTGTAAATCGAAGAGATAATACATTTGCAACATAGGTAGTCCAAATGTTTGTAAATGCATGTGTGTATAATAGGAAGATGAATCCACGAGGATATCCATCCAGGACCACAGCCACGACTCAAGATCCAGGGCTCGCGATGCAGGACACAGGACCGCAGGATCATCCATGACTCCGGATCCCGGCGTATATAGACACCAAAAAGAAAGACATTTGGGGAAGCTGGGTTAATCGGAACATGAGAGTACACAGGTATAGACAAAGAGAAGGAAGAAGTAAGATGTCCCCCGACAAACTAAGCCTATGTCAGCAAAACTAGGGGCTGAATCTAATCAGCCCTAACTATAAGCTTTATCAAAAAGGAAGGTCTTAAGCGCACTCTTAAAAACGGATAGGGTGTCTGCCGCCCGAACACAAACTGGAAGCTGATTCCACAAATGTGGAGCTTGATAAGAAAAGGCTCTGGCTCCCATTGTACTTTTAGAGACTCTAGGAACAACCAACAACCCTGCATTCTTGGAACGCAATGCCCTAGTAGGACAGTAGGGTATAATGAGTTCTTTAAGGTAAGATGGCGCATGCCCATTAAGGGCTTTGTAGGTGGGAAGAAGAATTTTAAATTCTATCCTGTGTTCTATAGGGAGCCAGTTTTCCTAACTCTGGTTAGGAAAACAAATGTTTTCTATATCATCCGGTGTATGCCTCGTTTTTATCACTACTACCTTATTCTTTTGTTCTCACTGTGTCTCTTTCTTTGTGTGTGTTCTCTCAGGTGTGGTCTAATTTCCTGACAGTTTTCTCCCCCGAGTACCGCCGCACCACCTACATGATGATGGCCGTGTGGTTCTCTATGTCCTTCAGGTAAGATGAGGTTAAAGAACGGACCACCCCTACAGATTTGTCCGGGTCTTATTGAGATATATAGTAGAGTTCACACCATAGATATATATATATATAAACACTAGATGACTCACCCGCGATGCTGGCCAATGGCCAATGGCCAATGGAGACCGACGTTGCCACATGGCGGCCATCTTGCCACAGGCAGCTCGCTCATTCATAACATTATGTCTATGGTGCACTATTGAAATAACCGTAGATTGCTCAATTTTCAACCATTTTCAAACGGTTTAGTTTGTTATAAACATCAAAGATGTAGTTATGATACTGCATACTTATAATTATAATAATAATTATATAATGTACTATGGATTAAGTTTGTATGTCCTGTATTATTATTGGAATACCACATTGTAAAAATCCTGCATTGCAAATAAAATCTTACACATTTACAAGTTTCGGTAAAAAAAAAAGAAGTGTTTATTAAACAATAAAAGTTACAAACGAAGTATATCCTTTTCCTGGGAACATTCATGCATGCTGTAACAATAGAGGCCTCATCTCATTCCAAAGCCCTTTTCAAGGTTTTTTTTTTTTCTGACAGCAGTGCTCTCTCTTTCTCTCTGTCCTCCTCCCTCTCCCTCTTTTCCTTGTGCAGCTACTACGGGCTGACTGTGTGGTTCCCCGACATGATCAAGTACCTCCAGAAGCAGGATTATGCCTCACGCACTAAGTTTTTTGCCAAGGAGAAAATAGAACATGTCACCTTTAACTTCACCCTGGAAAACCAGGTCCACCGCCAAGGAGAGTACTTCAACGACAAGTGAGTCCGCTAAATTATCTAGTTTGTTTTGGAAGTGTGGAATGAGGGAAACATTTCATTTTGAATTAGGTTACATGATAGTCAAGTGCCGTCTATTCCAATAATATTACATTTGAATTATTTCCAACTTTTGTCGGAGGAATTTGTTCACAAAGTCTTTATAATAAGGTGGATGATAGCCAGATAGATAATAATATGAATGAGGATACAGCTAAATGTTTTATTCTGAGCATTGCTTTGATTTCTTGTTCATTTTTTAACAAGTCTTTGAAGGTTTCTTTTACCTTGCCTTTTCAACCTGAACTCTTCATGTTATTTGAATTCAAACAAACACTCAATGTCTTTGCATCTCTCTTTTGTTTCCCTCCATTCCTCACTCCATCTACTTGTTGTCTGTCTGCCTCAATTTCTCCATTCTCATCAGGTTTATGAACCTGAAAATGAGATCCATGGTGTTTGAAGACTCGCTGTTTGAGGAGTGTTACTTTGAGGACATCACCTCCAGCAACACCTTCTTCAAGAACTGCACCTTCATCGCCACCCTCTTCTACAACACAGGTAAAATACACTCACACTAACACCAGTAATCACAAAATAGCTTGAGCAAGTGAAGGTGCATCTAAAAATGTATTTTTTATCCAACAAATGATGAACAATTGTGTGAATCGTTCTATAAAGTACATTTTTGACATAAATGGAATCCTATCTGATGCACAAATGAGTGGAAGATGTGCTGTGTGGATGTAACGCAATGAGAACAACTTTTAACAAACAAAGAGAGGAAGACAGAAGACCGGCTGCCCGAAGGGAGAGGTGACGAAGTTTGGAATCCAGTCCGAAGATAGTCATCACAATTTAATCAAATAAAATCAATAAGTTGATTGTGGTGATTATGGGCATAACCTTGAATATTGACATGAGGAGGATGAAGGCCTAATCATTTATGATAACCTAATTTATGATAGTTTCTTTGCTTCTTTGACATGAATTAGAAAAAGTGAATAAACTCTGTTTTAAAGATCTAAATGTGGTGAAAGCTGTGCATTAACCCTCTGGCAGAACACCATTAACAAACACACTGTACATTTGATCATATCTGCTCCCTCTCTGCCCTGATTCTCTCTCTGCTATTTATAGTGCTTTAAATATCTCCTTATAAAACGCTCTCTTAGGCAAAGCTATTGGCACAATCCACTCTTTTGTGTTGCTGGCTGCAAATGCAATCTCATGAAGGGATTGTGTCACATTGTTGTTACCTAGACAGATTGGAGGTATTTCTATTCATGTTTGTTTATTACATCCATCTAGTAAGCACATAGTCACCTGCACCATGGTGGAAAGTAGCAACGTAAATGTACTAAAATACTGAACTCAAGTATAGTATTGAGATCCTTAGTTCAGTATTTAGATTTCCTGCTACACAATGTCTACTCAACTACATCTCAGAGGTAGATATTGTTATTCTATCTGCATACAATTTCTTTTTAATTTAACATGCCTATTGAAATATTAAAATAGGCTCTGCCTTAATTTGAATCATAATCAAATACAGTAAACATTATTGTTAAATGAGCCAATCTGAATAATGATAACTTTGTTGATATATTTTGATGCTGATACCTGCTGATTTAATGCTGTAACCGAAGTCCATTTTGAATATGTGTGTGGTAACCGTGACTGAGGTTACCATATGTAAAGCTAGTCACTGACAACGCCACCTCCTGCTAAGGGGCAGGAGGAACCCGTGGACCCTAAATTTAAGTGTATGTCGTGGACCAATTTGAAAGCTTCCCTTAATAGGTTCAATTATGACAGAGGCATGAATTCCAAAAATATACGCAGCTTTATTTAACAAGTGTTGGAAACTGTTTAAAATGTCAATTCATGTAAAGTGTTAAAATGGCAAATACAATTCAACACGTAGCCTATATAAGTTACCCTCCTCAGTTGGGCAGACCTGGGGCCTCATTTATAACGCCATGCGTAGGATTCACGTGGGAAGGTTGCTTACTAAATTTTCCGATTCACCAAACATTGCGCACCGGCGAGGAAAGTGCGTACAGCACTTCCTACGCCGGTTTCCCTTTATAAATCACAACCGACTCGAAATGCGGTGCAGCTTTTGCGGGCTTCACGTAACGCCCATATTTGCCTATAAATAGTCAAAGAAACGCCCATTCATTCATTTTGACTGACTTTATGAAGAAGATAGCAGGAAATGACGACAGAACAGCTAAAAAAGACATCTCACACCCAGGGCCGCCTTAATGCACGGGCTGACCTGGGCTGAAGCCCAGGGGCCTACGGAGATCGGGGCCCTATCATGAGCCAATACAAAATAAAAAAAATATTTAAAGTTTTTTTTAAAGTTTTTTATTTCGGATGTTTTTTTAAAATGTTTAAATAAACAAAGTCTTGGCTTTCAGAATATGAAACTTTTATTTCAAAAATCACACGATAAATACATTTTTGAAGCTAGTAAAGGGAAGAAGACAGCTCTCCCTCGCCACTCTGCTGTTCCCCTCCCTCCGCTGAAATTGTGAATGTAAGCGTATAGTAATCATAGATAACACGGCAGGGTCCCTTACAGTTTGTTTTCATCTGATTTCAAATAAACAAAGTCTTGGCTTTCAGAATATTAAACTTGTTTCGGCAAATTCAGATGATAAATACAACTTTGAAGCTTCGGCATAATTACAAGCGGAGAACGGAGTAACTTGACGTCACAGCAGGCACAACAACAGCCGGTGTTTCTCGTGAGTGGTTTCCCCGGGAAACAAACACAATACACACAAACGCAAAATTACACAAACACACACACACACACACACACACACACACACACACACACACACACACTCGTGAGCTTCCCCCAGACCAGTAATTCAAATGAAAATATCTTCCCTCTGTAGTATTTTGATCATTTGCTCCGCTAATCAATCAGATCGATGGATTCCATTTTTCTCAAAAATGATGACTCCGAAACAGTCAGTGGGCACCACTTAACAGCCAATCAGAATGAGAATATGTTTCACATGTGACTTATTCAAATTGCGAGTGATTGAGTGACAGATGAAGGTTGTTTAGGAGAAAAAGTTTGAGAAGAAAAAGTTTGAGAGTGGCGCTCGGAAAAGGAAATTGTTGAGGGAAAAGGAGAAAATGCGGAAGCTTACAGGTTATTTTAAACCTGTAGGCCAGGATGAGGAGGAAGAACAGATGAGTTCTGTACCGAGCGGCAGCGGTGCCGGCCTCGGAGCCAAGTAGGCCGTCTGGTTCTGATAGCGATGGAGTAGCGGGAGAGGAAAAACAGACAGGAGGGACATTATCTGTTGGAGGAGATGGAGAGGACGACGAGGACTTGCTACGTGGAGGGGAGCCAACGGCAACCGGACAAATACATGAGGTAGGCCCGATACGTCAGTCATCTGGAGGAGAGGACCAGGCGCGCGTAGAGCAGAGTGGAGAAGTGCGATCACAGAGCCTGCCGAGGCTATAAATGACTTTGATTTGTTGTTTAAATAGGGGGCCTATAAAACCATCAGCCCCAGGGCCTGATGGCAGGTTAAGGCGGGCTTGCTCACACCGTGTCAGATTTTGGTTATTTTGGGAGGTCGAGATAAATCATATTGTTTGGTGGATGCCGTTTGAACCAGAGTAGCAGCATGGAGGTCGGATCGTCACCAAAATAAATAAATAAATGGCCCAAAAAAGGTTAATGACAAAATAAATACACATGACATAGCCTTCCTCAGGCAGTGTGTTTGTACCGGGGACAGGAGACACCCCCTTGATGAGAAACTGTAAGAAGTGAACGGGGAATCCCCCCGGAGTGGAGTCATGACGACTGGATCTGAATTATGTTTTTGTATTTGGTGGTTTGTGTTCCAGCTGTCGATCAGCTGTGCGCAGCGTCTCCACTGCAGCCTGTGCGTCTCAACCCCCCCGCAGCAACCCTATATCCACGCAGTTAAAGGAAATACAACTAATGTGTTGTGTTATATTAGCTGTATAATTTACCACATATGGTGTTCTTAGTTTCCATACCTCCTGTGTTTTACGAGCGACTTATCAAGTCTTGGCAAACGGCATAAAACATGATTAAACATGGTAGTAGGCTATATAAAACCATGCTCGTATCTACAACCTATAGAAATGCAAAACGGCGTCAGTTTAGACGTAATTCTGTCCTCCTGCTTACCGCATCATTTATGAGAAAACATTTCATAACATTAACACAACATATTCGAGGTGGTTTTAAATAACATATCCGTATTTATTTATTTCTCCAAGTTATGTTTTTGTGTGCACTGAGGAGTCTCAAACAGGCGTTTGTTTAATCATTTTAAGATTGGCTTTAATCAATGTTTGAAAATGAATTCTTCATATAGATGAGAGTAACAAATGCGTCACTTCCGGGCAAAAATAACGTCTCCGCCCACTTTTGGGGGAAAACAACGCTGTCAGTTGAACGGCGGTCAATACAAATTCTGAAGTTTTTGCCAATCCGATCAGAAATTTAAGAAAACCGGAGATTTTTGGATCATCAAAGAGCCCGATTCCAATGGCTAGACAGGCAAACAATTGCATTAAGCCATTAGAAATCGACGATCGGGCTCGATATATGGTTAAATATAGCAGTAGGCTATCGATTTTCATAGATGAGAGTAACATCGACGTCACTTTACGGCCCCGCCCACTTTTGGGGGAAACAACGCTGTCATTTGAACGGCGATCGAGCCTGAAGCCACAGAGCTCTTCTTTTACTGTCCTTTCTTCTTAGAGGAAGTACAGAAACACTGAACTCTGGATTCTTTTTAAATGTTTGAGGTGCAATAAACGACACGGCAGCTTGTTGGCATGATACAACTATTTTGTTCCGCCTCGCTCATGAGAGTAACAGCTGGAGAAATTACAGCCTCGTCTACTGATTTTAATTTAACCATATATCAAGACCGATTGTCGATTACCAATGATCAAATGTAATTGTTTGCCTGTCTGGCCATCGTAATCGGGCTCTTTGAAGATCCAAAAATCGACGGTTTTCAAAAATGGATAGGATTGGCAAAAACTTCAGAATTTGTATTGACCGCCATTCAAATGACAACGTTGTTTTCCCCAAAAAGTGGGCGGGGCCGTAATTTTTGCCCGGAAGTGACGTAGGTGTTACTCTCATCTATATGATAAATGAGAGGTAATATTTTATTTATGGTATTGTAGCGATCCTGATAGGCTACTCAGGGTGTCACTTAGGCATCCCCCGTCTCTCTGCCAATCATAGAGCTGCACCGTGATAGTGGCTGAGGTGCGGGCCTGTGGTTGGTGGAGCGGACGGGGGAGGGCGGGGAGTTGTGACGTAGACAGTGCTATATATATGGGTATGTGTAGAAGTTAGTGTGAGTGGAGTGTGCGGTAGAACCCACGAAGTGTACTTGACCTGTTATCATCTGTCTTCAAATACTAGTTATTAAAGCCTAATAACTACAAGCCTGTCTCCGACTCATCTTGGGAATGTTACAGTATTATTTCCACATATTTCTCTCCATTCTTCCTTCTGCCAA